GACCTGACGTGTCCTTCATACTACCATGTGTCAATTATGCTCAAGTCATTCAAGAGGAAGTGAGCAGTTTTGAACATCACTTTCGAGATCGCGTACAGACAGGCTCGAACCACTAATACATTGCGACTCGATGATCAGGGGGCCATCTCTTCTACAGTAGGGTAAGTTCTCAACCGACAGAGCAGAGTAACCCCTGTCATTTGGATATCATATTCCGAATTCGCTGCTCACCCAACAACGGCGAATCACCGCCTAAAGCTGATTGGCTTCCGTAGCTCAGTTGGTTAGAGCGTCGTACTAATACTTCATTCCGAGTATCCGGTAATGCGAAGGTCTCAGGTTCAAGCCCTGGCGGGAGCAAAGTCTCTCAGTGCCCATTAGCTTTCTTTTTGTTGATTTTAACAATTCTAGTATGATCTTTTTGGCGGTCGTTATGATACGGGTTTGAGTTGTTACTTACAGCATGTCCAGAGATCATCGAAAAGGTGGGTCTGATCTGGATGATCAGATAAGATTAGTGAAACCAATGCACATCAGGACCACCTCAATGTACGTAATCTCGTCCAAGACCCTCAATGAATGTGACTTCCCCTCACTGAAGTTGCACATTAATTTCTCTGTAGTCTCCTCATCAGCCGATTCAGCGTCTAGTACACGGAAAGTACCTCAACCGTGACAACCTCTCTGTTGATCCAGACCCCATACTCATATGAGCTTCAAGACGAACCAAAGTGTTCTATTAAAACTGATGAATCTCTTACTCAAATTTGGTATGCAACACGTAAACTTGTCTAATCTGCACATCATAACAGAAGACGAGGCTTGTGGACGCCATCAGGCCATGCTTTGGTTCTATGGGTCATTCTATTCGTGAGTGGACTGTCTAGTGGGTAGTAGAAAAAAAGGCCTCCTAAGTCTTAGGATATAAAAATAAGTAATCTAAGAACTATAGTCTAAGAAGCATAAAGTGACCTACTAATTTCGTCTCTTATGCTCCCAGCGGTCACTTTTTCTGATACCTGGGGCTTACCCTGCAGGGTTCCTTTTGAACATCCAAAATATTAATACAAGAACAAGAAGTCAGTATGTTCTCATATTGTTCTATTATACCTACGCTCTTTATGACAAAGATCCTATGGGTTTGTTATCGTGGGTCTGCTTGTTCAAAGTATGGTGGGAGAGCAAAATTATTGCTTGATGGATCATATTTAACTAATACGTTTATCGCTGAAGCTATAGCTCTAGCTATTTCCTTCAAATTCCAATAACAACCTAAACTCCAGAACCCACTTCTCTATATAAACCATCCGGTTAAGAAACAAGGAAACAAAACCCTCACGCACCCATGACTATCACTTGAGGTCCCACTATCTTCCCGGAGACCTCCTATGGTATGGCCCCATACTATTGTACCGACTGCAACCATTGTTGCATTATCTGCCATGTTTGTTGACCCCGGGTGGTAAACGAAACCCACATCCAAATCGTTGCAAGTGCCATAATGGTCATGACAGTTTTCTCTGGCACACAGTTGCGGTCCCGGAGCTTCTGGATGTAGACTGGAAGGCTGGTGTATGCTTTATTCTCATCCCCTTCAAGCTTGAATCCCTCGTAGAATACCACAGAGGGCTTCATTATTGTGTACGAGGTGACGCCCTTGATGTTCATTGTTTTTGGGAGAGGTTTGTGACGAACCATCGTCGGCGTCACTGTGATCTTGACTCTGGGAGCAGACTTGACTTGTCTAATATGGGGTCTGGGCTTGCCAGACACCCCGAGAACCATCATTTGGTATTGCCTGGCTTTCTCCACCGAGGCTTCGTGTGCCTTGGCTGCATCCAATGAAGCTTCGTATGCTTCCTGAGAGTTGTTGATGAGTTCTGTCGAGAAGGGCTCTCCGGGAATATTCCAGTCTATTGAGATGATGGCTGGTGACATGCGCATGCACACGCTGATCCAACCAGCGTGTGCAAACAGATCATGCAGTGACTGGTATAGTTCCGTTTTCGGCATGGGTTTGGAGACTGCAGTTTCTTCCACATAGTCGTAGAAAGGGAGTAGCATTGCCAAACTCTGCCAGCATAGCTTGTCAACCTCCTGCCAAAAGAGAGGGGGCTCTCCATTGTTCTTCCGGAGCCAAGCTCTCGAGGTGTGTGAGAGAACAGCGCTGCGTTCGAATCCTGAGTCAATGTCAGCATGATGCTCAACGTATATTATGCTGATTTACATACCTTCTGCATTGATGAGCTCGGTATCGGAGTTCTGAAGTGTCTTACAAAGCTTCGGATCGGCTCCAAATAGCAGCGGCGAGAATATGCTCTTGTCAATGATTCTGAAGAGGATGGCAACAATTAGGTTGACTCTCTCGTCCCCGTTCCGAAGAACCTTTTCCCAGTGCCCCGAGCGGGCATCCGGATGAGCCACGAGCTCAACATGTTTGATAAACTCCTCCGGGTACTGTTTCAACCAAGGAGACCTCCGAGTCGCCCCAGCGCTGCCCCCAGGAAGGAACGCCATCTGGGCGATGACATAAACTTCGACATTAAGTTTGTTAAGGAAAACCTCGTACTGTTCGTCGGCAAAGTCTTGATTGAGTTGTTTGAAGTTGAGGCCACGACGGCTGGGCTGGAAAGACCGTAATTTATTCATTGTGGTGTGAGAAGTAAAGCACGGAAAAGCAAGTGCGCCGTATCAAACCAGGGGTTTCATAAAAAGTAGCTGAGCCAGCAGATCCAATGTGTAAGAAAATAAAACAATAAACAAAAGGACTGGGTATAAACGAAAGACGGAAAACAGAGAATGGAACAAGAGTTGGTGTTGGGTATTTATCGGAAAGAGGATGACCTGAAAGAGGATGAACTGGATCCTCCAGGAAGGGCAGCAAAGAAGGTGAAGCCAGAGCTGATGGTGAAGAGAGAATTGCTTCTGGTCTTGCCCTTGGAGGCATTGTCCTTTGTCTTGTGGGCATCCTTCTCAAAGGAAGAAGTGGCTCGAGTCTCGGGCTCCATGATGAATAGTTAAAGTGGTAGTAAAGCTGAGAAAGGTTCCGGTGTCTGTAACAAAGAGGTAGTTCAAGGTGGTGTGCCTGGGAGGAAAGCTTTCTTTGTCTCGACGGGAGATGGGCTTATTATAACTTGGTCTATATATGGAGAATATGGTACATTGGTTGGGTCGACATGAGGGTGGACGAAAAGTATCGGCATACCCACCCTGGTCAACCCACGGCTGATCGCGCAGGTCTCGGATGATGGCTCTTTGAATGAGGGGCTTAGAAGAGCTAGACTAGAGAATCGTGAGGGTGTGAGATGTGCTCGCATTCCAGTTAACCAGTGCCTGAAGCTCGTGCATGAGAAGCTAGTGTTGGGACTTTGATGATCATTGGGACAGAACCATGGTGTAGAAAACGTGACGAAGCGGGTGTGCACCAGTTGTCATTCAGTTTGTGGGACGAGTGATGTTTACAAAACAACCAATAGAGGCAAGTAAAGTTCACGTTAAATCCCGCCCCTGGTAGACTAAGCTTGGTCGTGAATGGTGAGTGGTGAGTGTGGGTGATGGATTGAGGCTTAATCGGAGGCTTGGGCACCTCATTTCAAGGGAGAAAGTGACGCAGCAAGTGCTCAAGTTGGCACAAGTTGGTCAGGAGGAAGCAGCTGACTGGATGAAAGGAATTACGTGAAACCGCCCTTTTACCGTTTGTACAAGTTGGGTTTGTGTCTTTCTTTCTTTGTCCCTTGATTTAGTCAAATTGTAATTGGGTGTTGGCTGTAGCTGTGCTGGCGCTTGAGGAATGTCTGTCTAGATCCCAACCTGCATGAGAAATGGTGTGAGGCATGAACGACTCAAGAAACGTAGAAGCATGTTAAACAGGTTGTAAGTGGAGTAAATGGGGGCCATGAAGTTGTAGTGAGTGATGACTTGGATAATTATGTACCTATTCATATGACAGCGCATGCAAATGAGCACAGCACAACATATCACCTTTGTATTGGTGAGCTTCAAAATTACGACCTGACCTGACGTGGGCTAACTCATAAGAAACAAAAAATAGCTGTACTCTATTGCACTAATACGTCCGAATCGAATCGGATATCCGCGTGACTGACAATACTGCGTCATATGCAGTTGAGTTGCATTGAATTCTGTCGTTAGTCTATCGAAGCCCGATTGACGCTAGTTGAAAGACAGTCAGGTTTGCAACTCTGTTTGTGGATATCTCCCATCTTCGCTTGTTGGCATTTGCGGATATCTGAGCCTGACCGAGTAAAAAGAAATCGGACGAAATTAAGAAGGAAAGCCCCTTGTGTTCCCTGTCTGTTCTTTTCCCCTTGTTTGGCAGATTTATCAAAGAATGGATAAAAAAGGGACTGGCTGAGCAATGATCCAAATCCCAGGCATATGGTTCGGATTAGGGACGGACAAAGAGGATCTTCCTTGGCACGTGAAGCTCATGTTGAAACCATAGAGTTTCAACTTTCAACTTCAACCTCAGTTGATATTTGTTACTGACCCTTGCTAAATTGATGCAAATACCTGGTCAATAAGGAGGCAAAGGAGAACCGCTTGTCTGAAACGTTTAGAGATAGTAACAGGTCTGATAGGAAAGAGATGATGCCTCATATTCTAGGCACAAACAAGGCATCTCATAGCATCAATAGCCCTCTTAGGAAGGAAGTAAATTGCTTTTACCAGTTTAGGTCACCACCCAGAATTTTTGACTTGCGCCTCGCGACACAAATCCTCTACGCACCTTCCGTGTCAAACGTCACTTCTAGACTTCTTTCCCTATTTTTGCTCAAATCTTCGCGACTCTTGCCTGGTGCAAAGTTGCCAACAATTTTTAACAAAAGGAAGGAATTGCTCGAACCGTCTTCCCTCCTCGCCCCACTTCTGCACCGCTCGCCTTTCCCTCCGCTATCAATCCTCTAAATCTGCCCCGCGATCTTTCATCCGCGAAACCCTTCATCTGCACCTCGCTCTCACGAGAAACACCAGACACCATGGCTGCCGTCGCAACAGAAGCCCCCAAGATGGATGAGCAGGTCGACCTCACCACCATCCCCGTCGACCCCGCTGGCAATGAAGAGTCTTCCGACGTCAAGGACGACAAGCCCGTCACTGTTTTCCACGACAAGGACAACTTCAACGTCAAGCACCCCCTCCAAAACAAGTGGACTCTCTGGTTCACTAAGCCCCCGAGCGGCAAGGTGCGAAATACCACACTCATACGCCAATTTTTTAGATACTAATATCGACTATAGGGCGATAACTGGAACGATCTCCTCAAGGAAGTTATCACCTTTGACTCTGTTGAAGAGTTTTGGGGCGTCTATGTGAGTCCAAAACTTGGTTTCTCCCAACAAAATCCTAACATCTTCAGAACAACGTTGCCCCCGTCTCCGAACTCTCTCTCAAGTCCGACTACCACCTTTTCAAGGAAGGTGTTCGCCCCGAGTGGGAGGACCCCCAGAACAAGCATGGTGGCAAGTGGTCTTACCAGTACAAGGACAAGCGCAACATCGACATCGACCGTCTCTGGCTCCAAGTTATGATGGGCGCTATTGGCGAGACTCTTGAGAACGAGGATGACGGCGAAGTCATGGGTGTTGTCGTCAACGTCCGCAAGGCCTTCTTCCGTATCGGTGTCTGGACTCGCACCATAGGAAAGGCGATTCCCGGCCGAGGTGATGGTGATGTTGCTGGTGGCAAGGGCCGTAGCGGAGAGAAGGGTAAGGATATTCTCCTGTCTATTGGACGTCGCTTCAAGGAGGTTCTTGAGCTGCCCGCTTCCGAGCAGGTTGAGTTCTCTGGTCACACCGACAGTGCTCACTCTGGAAGCACAAGAGCCAAGGCCAAGCACGTTGTTTAAGAGCGTGAGGCTAGTTATGCGAGGGCACGACGTTGATTTAGCACGATATCCGATAATGACCATTTCACGTTTCTGAACTTGACGCCGCTCACTCGGCGATTCGCAAAAGGTCGACGACTGGTTGATGATGAAGCGGCAGGGCAAGGTAGCTCGGCTTGAACCATGACAGGGATATTTCCGGAATGGCCACAGCTTATCCTTGATTTCATTTGGTTCAATATTATACCGGCGTTGCTTAGGACGGGCTGTTTCCCTAGTGGCATCCAAGTAAAAAGGTCAGCCACCAGAGGGAGGAGAAAAATAGATTTGTACTTTTATCAGCCAACCCTGATAGCTTCACACAAGTTTCTGATAGCTTAAAGCCGAATGCTATTAATTTGCAACATCTTTCCATGTATCATGGTATTATACAGTGATCACCCAATTACAGTCTTTTTTTCTCTTCTTTTTTAATTATCTTCTAGCTTTCGCCGCTGCTTATGTCGTCAGGAAAGATGGCCTTGACCAACTGTTTCTTGTTGATCTTGCCCATAGCATTTCGTGGGATTTGATCAACAAGCTTCATCACTTGCGGAATCTTGTAGTTTGCAAGACGCCCCTTGAGAGCTCGGCGCATATCGAGCGCAGACCACTTCTTAACAATGTCCGTATCTAGAACCAGTACAGCGCCGACCTTGTGGCCCCATTGTCCGCTGGGCACAGCCACGACGGCTGCCTCAGAGACTTGAGGCAAGGACAAGAGTTCGCGCTCGACCTCTAGAGCGCTCACCTTTTCGCCGCCTGTCTTGATGATATCGGCGGATTTGCGGCCTTGGATGAAGTAAAGGGGACCATGGGTCCAGGATTGGGCTGCATTGGCCGAGGGGACTGGTCGACGGACTGCAACGTCGCCCGTCTTGAACCACTTCCCCTTACCGTCTTCACCTTCGACGAATTCGCTCGCCGTCGCTGACGGGTTACGCCAATACTCGCGGAAGATGGTCGGTCCACGAAGTTGGATTTCTCCAGAGCGCTCGCGACCCTGCGCATCAACCTCTTCTCCCTCTTTGATAACCTCATTAGTGTCGACATCGACCAGACGGGCTTCGACAGATGGCAATGGCCAGCCAACGCTGGCGTCTACACGATCGGAGAAATCAAGTCCACAGCTCAGTGCCATACCAACCTCGGTCATGCCATAACGCTCGAGGAGGACGTTGCCGTGGCTGAGATCCTTCCAAGCAGTTTTGACAGGGGTTGGGAGAGCAGCAGATCCGGAGATCGAAAGGCGCATGTTCTCCGGAGAAATGGCCTTGCGAGAAGCTTCTTGCATATCAGGAGGGAGACTCTTGTGAGATGATAGAAGCTTGCTGTACACGGTGGGTACGACTGTGAAAAAGGTGATTTTCTCTTTTGGCGTTGATGCCTCGTTGGATAGGAAGGGTAATGAGAAGCGTTTCCAGACGGCATCGGCGTTGAAGGGGAACATGAACTCAATTGCCGAGCCGGCGAGGAGAGGCGTGAGAATGGCATTCACCGTGCCGTGGATGTGATGAAGTGGAAGAACATGGAGGAGATGATCAGAGGGTGAGTAATTCCATGCTTCAGTAAGAGAGCGAGACTGGGCTGTCAAGACAGCTTGTGGCAGTAGGACTCCTTTCTAAGAGTAGCTTCAGCATATACAACGCATTATGACTACGTCGAGTATTGACTTACTGGTTTGTTGGTTGTGCCTGAAGTATATAGCATCATACCAGCTTCACCAGGATCGGCATCACCTAGCTCGACCTTTTCATGATTACCCCCACCTTGATGCTTTTGAAGCTCGAGATGCGATGGTTTGGTGTTTAGCTCCGTTGCAAGAACTTCTTTAGCTTTTGATGCGAATTTTGGAGAAGAGACCAGCAATGAAGCTTCGCTCTGGTTAAGGATATATTGTAGTTCTGGCGCAGGAAATGCAGGAGATAGAGGCACAGCGATGGAACGCGCAGCCATTGCGGCCAGGAGCGTCACTATATAAGAACATCTATCAATATTGCTATCGCAAACGTAGGGTCACACACACGTCATGAGCTCACCTACGTAGTCATAGCTATTCTCAACAAGGAAAGCAATACGCTCCCCATTGAGATCTTGCCGACCAGAAGCTTCAGAAATGCGATCCCTTGCACGACTCACATCACCCAGAAGCTCTCCATACTTGAAGGTTCGACCGGAGATAGAGTGGACGACGGCTTTGGAGTCGGGGTCATGTTTAGAAACCGCTTCGAAGAGCGGTAAACGCGGAAGCGTGGAGAGCATTCTAGGACGGAGGCTGATAAAGGTAGCAGTAGCATGGCGCCGACGGAGGAGGAACGACATGATTGAATGAATGGACCGGGGGTGTTCGACGAACAAGGATGCGAGAGGAAAAAGACCAATCTGAAGCTCTCGAGGTAACGCAAGAGGTTCGTTGCTGGGATGCTACGACAGGTTCACCGGCTCATTTGCCGAAGGGGAAACCAAAGAGGTGGGAAGCAAAAAGAGGGGATTGATGATCCGCAATTGAACATGTGAAGTCGTTCCAGATTTGGTGATGGAGTTGAAGCTTTAGAAAGCTCTAATTTGGTAGTCTAGTGGGTAACAGAAAGGATGACCACCCAAGGCTTAGGGTACAAAAACAAACAGCCCAAGAGTACGGCTTGAGCGGTACAGGCCGCCTTTCTAATTTTGTCTCTTATGCTCCCAGTAACCGACTTTTCTTCCACCCTAAGGAGTGGATTCTTTACTTTTTCCGTTGACGTCGAAGCTTCGGTTCACGGTCCCCGGGGGCAGACGATGAGTTTCCCCGGTAGGTACGTACCCTTTTAGAAGCCGCGTCGAACACTGGTCAGCACATTTTCTCCAAAGTCAACAAAAGAAACAGTCGAGACTTGAAGCCAATGAGGCAAGGTTACTGTGTAGCTCTCTCCTTTGTTTTTGCAGGATGAGACCGGCTCTCCTTCCGGCAGCTAGCCATGCGTCCGCGTAGTCTGGAGGCTTGAGGAACCGTTCGACTGCAATGCAACACACACAGAAACATGTTTACTATGGGTTGGAAGTTGGTACATGTACCAGTTCAACTTGTTGAGATGTATGTTTAGATACAGGTCAAGTTGAGCAAGACTTTGTCTCTTCTGCTGTCTAACCTCTTGGCTTGATTAAGGACAACTCAGGCGCACAAATAAGAAAAAGACTGAAAAGAAAAAGGAAAAAAGAGAAACAAGGTCAACAAAACGAAACGAATACGTGGGTGGGTTATATGCCATGCTATGCTATGCCATGCCATGCAGTCTTGACGGTACATGACTGTACGTATGTATGTACATGTTATCCTAGAGACCGCCATCTTTCTCACGCCAGATCCCGCCTGCTTGGGCCGGTACCTACAGAAAAAGAGGGCTCCAGCTATTTACTCCTAAAACTCCACTGGGTCTACTAAATGGAGGCCCGGCTGCTGTCAAGACTGCAGCTGGGGGGGTATAGAACCAGTATGATATTAGAGGCAGTTGGTTAGGCTTGCTCGCGTATCCATCTGAATGACGGTGTCTATAACTATCAAAACATAGACGGTGTAACTGTATTTGTTGTACAGACAGACTCTCAGGGTTTCTTAGAACAACACAAAATTCTTTTTTACCCAAAAACACAACAACCCTTGTTCCTGGCTTCACCGCTCTCCAAAGCTGCATGGGCGGTCAGGGCCATCCGACGCCCGACCCAGCCGTCTGGACTGAGACGCAGATTGGCGGCTGATCATTTGCTAAAACGAGAGCCCACCCTTTTCAGGGGGTGGTTTTTGGGTTTCTCAGATGTAGGGATGTTTTTCGATGTGATGGGTCGAAAGGTTTGTCCGCCACTTTGGCTGTTGGAAAGACGGTAAATGGAGGGGAGGGGGGTCTCATATCCCCGCGCTTCCAAGTCGATACTGTATTAGATACTATACAGTAATGGAAGCTTGCGACGAACATCTGCAGAAGGATGGATAGGAGAGAGAGGAAGAGTTCAGCTGAACTATAGCTACATCTAGAGTGTATGTATTAGTGTGTAGGTATGTAGGTATGTAGGTCATGTACAGTACTGTATCTGTCGGTATGTGTTATGTGGCTGGTTTTTTTGTCTTTGCTTCTTGCTTCGTCTTCACTTTTCCCTCACCGACTTGATACCAAAACGGAGAACGGGCTCCTGAGTTGTCAATTGGCAAGCAAATCAGTCACTCACAGAGTCACAGTCACTGAAAGTGAACGTGTTCCGCCACTTCACTTGACTTTACTTCAAGCCTTGCTTTCCTATAATAGATAACTAGTTAGTAGAATACTATCCATACACCTCAACCCAAGACTTTTATATTAAACCGCCTTGGTACCTCTAACCCCATTCTCTTTTCGACTTTCAACTTTCACTTTTCTCTCTTCCCCTATAGTCCATTACTCCTTTTTGGTCTATAGAACAGTGCGACATTGAAGGACACCGACAAGACAAAGCTTAAAAAGTCGGAAACTCTCTCCAACACAAAAACCAAAAAAACCTGCCTCACTCGCATTCTCTGCCACCAAAAGCAAAACGCCCTGTCGATCCATTACCGCTCCACTTTGGGGGAACAGTTCTAGGACCAAAAAAAGAAATATCAACTTGATCGCCCGCGAATTTCGAGTTTCACTCAATTCGCTTTTATAAAACCGGGACGACTTTGCGCATATCGCTCTTTGTCGACTTTTTCTAAAGATTCTCACAAGTCGACAATTGTGCGTTGCAACTTTTGTCGCAGAAACGCACTCTTTTTCTTTCAGAACCGCCCGACCTCATGTTTCGACGATACGCGCTCGGCTTCTCGAGCGTCGGACGACAGCTCTCAACCATGAGCTCTTCTAGCACTCCCGTTGAGGATATGATTCGCGCAAAGGTGAGAACAAGCGTTTTTGACTCAGTGTTTAAAAAAGAAAAAATATTAACAAATTACAGATCACTGCTGCTTTCAACCCGCAGACTCTAGAGATTTACAATGACTCTCACCTTCACTCTCACCACAAGGCCATGGAACACACTACTTCCAGCGAGACACACTTTCGGTAAGAACTGAACCCCCCCTATTGTAACGGATTCAAGCGAATTCGTGAAACTTGAACAAATTCCTCATTTGGAATTATCCGTGTAATATCATATCATGTCACAAAATCTCATCTCATCTCATCTAATCCTTCCCGCGTGACACTCTTTGTCATCCCTGATACACTCCCACCTTCTACATATGAGCATAAAATACTAACACATGTGACAGCGTGGTCATCACCTCAGACGCATTCAACTCCAAGATGCAGCCTGCTCGTCACCGCATGGTCTACGCCCTTCTCCGTGACGAGATGGCCCAGGAGAACGGCATCCACGCTCTCCAGCTGCGCACCATGACTCCCGAGGAGGAAACTCGTCAAAGGAAGAAGAAGGAAGCCGAAGCTGCCGCTCGCGCTGCTGAGACTGCTGAGCAGGAGTAGAAAAAGGGCAACCGACAAATTTAAGGAAGAAGGACAAAGAAAGAAAACGATGTCTTCTCACGAAGAAAAAAACAACAACTATAATGACCGCTAATGACAGGAATGACGACACATAAAATGGACAACAACCCGGGATTTTTTACTCTTCAGCAAAACCAAAATCACAAAAATATTGGGCTAGCAGAAAGGGAAACAAAGGCGTACCAAAACACAAAAAACACAAAAAAAAGATAGGATGATGATGGGCAGCGTGTGTCCACGGAGCGAGGGATTTGATCAAGATTGGGACCAGACAAAAAAAGAAAAATTGTACGATATATACCCCCCGCCCTCCCGTGGAAATGAGACGACCTACGACTTTGGCAGTAGAAGGCGGGGGGAATATTATCGTTTACGGAACGATCGAGAAGGGGGAGGGGGAAAAGGCGACTTGGAACCAGGGTCCTTTCACACAAAAACTCTCGATCTTCTGCCTCGTCGCCAATACTTGTCAGTCCTTTAATCAGGCCAGGTTGGTTTCTCTCGGTCGAACCCAGCTAGCTTAACCATAGATATGTTATGTTGCCCACGCACAATAGACAGTTCTTTCCGCTACCGATATTGGTTTATTCTTCTTGATGCTATGGATATAATGTCTTGTTCACGTCTATTGCTATGTAATCGTTTCAAGAGTTGAAAAGAATGCCTTCTTCTTGTAATACTAAACATACTGAGGGAAATGCTTACTTGCCTTTCCACCATTCTGGGTATCAGAATTCAACAAAAAAACACACAGATATACGGACGCCGGCTCGAATTTCCTAATCACTCCCTCCGATGACATATTACTTTTCGTGAGAACCGGAAATTTGCCCCCTTTCAACGTCTGCTTTCCGCCTGTCCACTACTGCTCCGAACACCTTTTTCTTTGGCGATTCGACTGACATACTTTTGCGCCAGTATTTCGCGAGTTTTTCCCGTCTCCTATCATCATCCATTGTTGACGTACCGCTAGCACTACTACCCGAACTAGCGCGGCTCTTCGAGGCAAGCTTCTCGAAATAATTGACCGGTCGAGGATCCCTCCCTCTTGGTACTGGTACTGGGTCTGGTATTGATGATGGTGGCACTGATGCTCCTGGGATTTTATTTCTCCTCCTTCGTACTGGGTCTGGTATTGATGATGGCGGTGGCATTGATCCTCCGGGGATTTTGGGCGAAGGTGGGGGAGGTGCTTGAGTGATGACATCTCGGGCCCATGAAGACTCAGGCTGCGCTGGCAATGTGGTCCCGCAAGCCTTAAATGACGAGGGTAGTGCTCGTTTTTTCGTTGGTCTCTGGTCGGGCGTTCGTTCTGGCCTTTGCTCCAGTCTCTGCTCCGGCCTTGTCTTTGACACTTTCTCTGGCCTCTGCTCTGGTCTTTTCTCTGGTGCTTTCCCTGGCTTTTGCTTTGATCTTTGCTCTGACCTCGGCGCTTCATCTGAATGCATCTCGTGCTCCTTCTCCTTTTCTACGGCTGCAGACAACTTCCTCGCAGAACCCGATACATGTGCTGACAGTACCTTAGAGAGGATCATATCCGTTTCACTCTCGAAAGACGCATCAGGCGGCGAGGCTTCTGGAGTTTTCTTATCCGGCCGCACCAGAACCGGACTCGCAATCTCTTCCTCTTCCTCTTCCTCTTCGCTTGACTCCTCCTCATCCTCTGAACTCGTATAGATCATGAGCTCGTCTCCGTCCTCATTTTCGAGCAACTTCCCGTTCGCTTCAAACTCATCAGGGTACATCCTCAGGATGTGGCTAAGATTGCCCCTGTGAACTAAATATTTGTTGAAAACCGGGGGGCCTCTCTGCTTGTTGAACCATTTGATGCCAACCCTGGCTTTTATGCGATGTTTCTGAGTCTGATCGTAGTACTCCTTATAGTACTGCGGGAAAACTCGGATTAGCTCGTCATACATGCAGTCTCGAAGTGTTTTTTTTGAACGAAGGTAGTTCAGATATATACATGCGTTGATGAAGTCGACCTTGGTGGCTGCTGCCACCCGGCCACCGTCACCACTCGCATACTCGGGGTAATGTTGCACAAATGTTTCAAACGGCTCACAAGGAGCTCCTGGGGCTATGAGTGGTAGAGCAGGTGAAGATGGTTGCATGGCCACCTCGTGGTTAACCAAAGGCTTGCGAGAATTTGTTGATGCGATTCGTTTTGGCGGGCCCATTGGTGTTGGCGTAGTTGGTTGCTGTACCCGTTGCTCCCGGACTTGTTCCTGAACCGGTTGTTGCCGAACTTGTTGTATGACCGGTTTATCCTGGTTTGCAGCAGTTTTGGTACCATTGACGGGTTTTGGTTTTATGGCAGACACCGGTCGACGGCTAGGAGTTTCTCCCACAACTTCTTGATCGGCGGTTGAGGGTATTATCACCTCCACTCGGTTCTGTCTCTCTTCCTCATCCTTGTCCTCGATAGACTCTCTGACAGGCTCCTGGGCCGTGGGCACTTTGTATGTACTGGGAATGCAAGACTCTGATGATGAGTTCGGCCTCGAACTATTGATTACCGGGGGCATTGTTGTGGCTTTAAGACGCTCTTTCTCGGGGTAATATTTCTTCTTTTTTTTGTCGGAGGCGTCAACGACGATAGGCTTAAAGCGAGGCCGGCTTGTGCCCCTTTCTACCCGTCGATTCGTATCCGGAGATGTTTTGCTTGGAACAACTGCATCCTGGCCTGATGTTTGTGTGGAATTGCTCGGCTGGGCGCATGGTGGTGTAGCCATTGGTTTGTTTGTAGAGAGCGGAGACGGCACGGCTCGGTTGGAACGAACCGCATTTTGGTTAATTGAGATATTGAGGAGAGGTTGGGCATCTGGGATTCTCGTTTCCATGTCATATTCGGATTCTGATGAAGGCGGGTTTTGGAACGTCGGTATTGGGTGTCGTTGTCGCAGTCGCAGGCCTGGCCCTCCAGCTGTCTTTGGAGTCTCGTGTACGATTGACGATTGAGTGATCGTATCAGTTGCTATCTTTTTAGAAGCCGCCTGCTTGGGCTGATCGCGTTCCGGACTCGGACTCCAAGGTATTGGTTTTTCAGGCGACGATCGAGGTGTTCTCTCTGAGTTGGACTTTGGAGTTGTCGCAATCCCATTTCGCATGCGCTTGTTGCTGGCTGGTAGGACAGGACTAGTAGCACTTCGTTTCTTCGATTGTGGAGTTTGATCTTTCGATTTTTTCTTCTGAGCGAGATGCGTTGCCTTGATTCCTTCCAAGATATGACCGGGGATGTGCGCCAGACCGTGAGGCTGGTTCTTTAGGTCTACTGCCCATGCATCTTGACCCTCCAGCAAACTTCTCTGATCAGAGGGAATGTTGGCAGCGCGGCGTCGGGACACAAGGGGGGGCGAAACTGAGGACATCGTCGTGAGACTGCCCTACACCTGCACCAGTCACGGTGAGCGTTACATGGGCTGTGGTGGTAGTGCTCGATGGCGGTGTTGTACGACGATGCGAAGAGATGGGTGGGGGGATCGCGGCGAGGATCGGGTTTGATGGTTTGCGAGGTGCATGCGCAGATGATTGTCGTGGAGATGCAAAGATAGTATGGTAGTGTTGAATTACGTAGTGAAGCGATGAATAATACAGCGAATATATTGAAACAAATGGTAGCGCGACGCGCCGGGTAATTTTGGGCCGCGCAGAAATTGGATCTGCGGGGTCTTTTTCTTCCTCTTGAAGGTGGCTCGTGCTCGATCAGCACCAAGTCATCGGTACTTTTGAGTTCTTATCACTGCGAGACCATGCATGTGCAAGCCTAACCTTTGCTTGTACCCTGTGAAACTTTACCTGCACTACAAATACTCAGCATAAAAGACGACAACGTTGTCAAGATATTATAGGATAGACATAACGAAATGTCTTGATTAAATAGTCTTTACTAGCACAAACCTCGATTGATAGTTTCAAGTTTAGTGATAATTATTTCCCCTCTAATAGTGAACGGGCACTGTTAGACACGCACAGGCCTACCTAAACCCCCTGTCGCCAACAGCTGTCCCGCTCCCGCTGTTTTGCAAGGGTCTGACGCCATCACGCATTCTCTACATCCATCTCGGATGCCCAAGGACTGTTCTCGACCTTGGACTTTGACAAAGCACAACCGTGATTAGCTGTGCGGCCTGGCATATTCTTTCTGTGCCACAACACCCTGCTTATGCCCCTTCGTCATTCTGCTTGCTGTCTCTTGCCTTATGCGCCTTGGACATCGGGATTAACCTGCGTTATCCTGTCTTGTTCAGTCTTGTCAACCCACAACAGCTTCACCGATCAGCGAACCCTGAAGATCGACCTCCCCGCTCGCCGCCTCTCTATTTATCGACGGCTTGTCTGATTAACTATCTTGAAGTATCCGCGACACTCACCATGCTGTTGATATCCCGCGTTCGATCCTTGGCCGTTGTGTTTGTTTGAGAGTCCTGAAGCGGACAAACGTCACATGTGTTGGGTCTTAGACATCTAGGACCCTTCAGTCGACCAACACCGGATACCCGTATACCAAACCCCAACTTATATTCTTCGAGTCGCTTTGAAATTCTATCTCTCAACCCCGCCACCGATTATCGAGATAATTGCATCTCCAACATGTCGCCGCCTAGGGCTGGCTCTGTAGCTTCAGAAACCTCCCCTGTCCGAAACCGCCGTGGTTCTATCAGCTCGATTACTACCGGCCAACTTGCACACGCACTCGACAAGATACACACCTCTGCAAGCCAGAGTGACTCTCTTACTACCTTTAACGACTTTGCGCCGCCTCCTGTAGCAGCACCCACCTCCGATAACAAGGGACTTACCGGTGACCTCGTTCAACAAGGATTCAGCGGTCTTTACAGTCGACTGAGGGAAGCTGTAGGTGGTTCTCCAAAGTCGCCCCAGGAACAAACCGCCGGAGAGAAGTCAGAGCCTTCTTCTAAGAGAACATCAATCACTGCGAACCATGGCTCGAAAGCATCCATCAGCTCGCTGAGCCGAGCCGAGACTGGTGCATCCATGTCCACCACATCCTCTCAAGTTATACCCAACGATGGAGCTTCAGCCCAAACAGCCGGTGGCATTATCGAGCCCCGGCCGCAACCTCAGTCATCCAAGCCATCGAGCATCAGCCTTATGTCTAATCAAAAGGCCAACTCTACGAACCGTCAAAGCTTTTCAAAGAAGGCGCCCAGCTCTATCGCCGCTGACCCGACGATTGCTCCTATCACGGTACATAGAGACCCTAGTAATACCACTCTACGCACCGAGGATAGTGGTGGTGTTGGGTCTAGTCGGAAAAGTGTGAGCAGCAGAGTCGATTTGCAAGCACATTTAACAACCGCCGAATCTTCAGCCAGTTTATATGATGCGAAAGACGGCAAACTACCGCCCAGGTCGAAACGTGACGATACCTCGAGTATAGAGGAGAGCCTCAAGAGCCCAACGAGCCCCAGAAGCCCACATCACCACCGTACACCCTCATTGCAAACCTTGCAGACCCGAAGTCTTCGAAGCCCTTCCGTTACTTCATCTCTGTTGTCACCCGATAGTGTAAGGAGAAAACCTGCCGTTATTGATCGCATCAGTCGATCCAAATCTCCCGGCGACCAGAATTCAAGAGAATCTTCTTTGGATAGAGGTACTGCGGAGCCTAGCCACGTCAGCACATCCGCACACGATTCAGTATGCCACGATTCCTTCTCACACAATCCAAAACCACAAAAAATGGCCTCGGGAGATTTCAGAATACCTGGTACTGTTACCAGCAATGAAGAGGCTTCGGAGCAGGTCAACGCACAGCTTGACCGTATGCGAAAACAGGTGTTGAGTAAAGAGTTTTGGATGAAGGATGACACTGTCAAAGAGTGCTTTCTTTGTCAGACGCCATTCAGTGCCTTCAGACGAAAACATCATTGCCGCACCTGTGGCTGCATCTTTGACTCAAAATGCACTACTGTCATTTCAGGAGAAAGGTTTGGCGTGCAAGGTTCATTGCGCGTCTGTAAGCGATGTCTTGAGGTCATCACCAGACGATTCGACGGGAGCGGCTCAGATGATTCTGGGGATGAGCAATCATTTATGCCGAGATTCTTTGGTTCAAATCACGCAAAGTCTCCCAGCAACGCTAGCCAGTCCAAGCCAAGAGATAACGAATCTGGGGTCGCTTCTGAAGGTTCGGAAGACTCGAGACCCATTTCAAGACCTGTGACAACACCCATGATGGCTATACCTGCAACCCGCCGCCTTGGGGAGTCTCGTACTGCAGCTATTTTGGAGATCGATGCTCCTCAGTTGAGCAGACCCGGCTCTTCACGATCCCTCAAATCGCTAAGTGCGAGGCCACATTCATCCGCGGGTCATAAGAGACACCATTCCAAACATAGTGGCTTCCTCAACCGATTCAAGCCTGCGCCAGAGGAGAGAGCGCCTTTCCGACGTGTGGTCGACGATGAGAATGCTAAGCCAAAGTTTCCAGCCTTCCACGACGATAACATCATCGATCCTGAACTGGCTGATTACATGTCCGACGAATCGAGTGAAGACGAACAGATGAGTCTCTTCGCGACGATGACAGGCGATCTGCAGCCTGGGAGCCTCGGAGACGACAAGTCAGAGCTTACCCCATACGTCAATGCTAATAGGAAATATCGCCATAGGGCAGGTGAAAAAAGCATTAGCGGCATGAGCTTCGCGAGCAGAAGTGGGATCGATGACTTTCCAGGCAGTCTCGGGGCCTATCGGCGACCACCAAGGCGACGGAACACTAGCAACGTTGGTGGTAGTATACACTACTTGCCATCGCCGCGCCCAAAGTCCGGTGTGTACAAGGGGCCATCGCAATCGTCTGAAATGCTCTTTGCATTGGATACGCCTCATCACAGTGCAAGTCAAATCACTAGAAGTGATTCTTTGCAGCACAGGAAGGCGCCCAAAGTCGAGCTCAACTCGTCAAGTTTGAGGCATGTCGACAAGCTCCTCCATCAGTTGCTAGACGATGCAGAGATTCCAAATCCCCCAGCATGGCAGAAGGCTCTCGTCCCTATCCTTTTGCGGGCAACGGACGATGTGGACCCTGACGTTGCAAAAGGCGAAGATATGGATATCAGGCATTATGTCAAGCTGAAAAGGATCCCGGGCGGTAAGCCTGGCGATACAGCCTACATCTCTGGTGTAGTCTTCACCAAGAATTTGGCATTGAAGAGCATGCCACGCAGGATCACCAATCCTCGCGTCATGCTTGTAACATTCCCCATTGAGTACCAGCGACATCAACAGCATTTTATGAGCTTGCAGCCCGTCATCGAGCAAGAAAAGGAGTTCCTGCGTGTTGTGGTGCAGAGAATCACGAATCTTCGCCCACAGGTTCTCCTTGCCGAGAAAAGCATATCCGGCGTGGCATTGCAATATCTGTCCGATTCAAACATCTCAGTGGCATACAATGTTAAGCACACAGTCATTGAGGCAGTCTCGCGATGTGCTGAAACGGATATCATCTCCTCTCTTGATATGCTGGCCCTTCCCGTTCAGATTGGACGCTGCTCAAACTTTGAAGTCCGAACATTTGTGAATAATGACTACCCTGGTCGCAAGAAGTCATACATCTTCCTTTCCGGTTGCACGCCCGAGCTTGGATGCACAATCGCGCTGAGGGGTGCTAACAGTACGGTACTCTCAAAAGTCAAGCACATCATGGAGTTTATGGTTTACGTTGTTTATAACCTGAAGCTCGAGTCAAGCCTCCTGAGGGATGAGTCTATTGAACTTCCAGAGGGCGGAGAATCCATGGCAAACTCCGTGCAGCTACCAGTGGAAAGTGCCAGATCTCAGAGTGTCAGTAGTGTTGACCACTCAAGAGACGGTCCCGCTGTTGTGGTTAATCACCCTGCAAGTGAGAGTGAACCGCCTTCTCAAACTACTGTGGACAGCTCTAGTATTGCCGAAGCCGATGATACTGGCTCCCTTGACCAGTCAGGCCAACTGGTTCAAGAACGCGAACGTTTGACATCTCTTCAGGAGCAGCCAGAACCTTCTGCCGACGACCAGACCAGCCAAGTTCCAGATGACGTTCCAATGCCGACTTACTATAGTGACATGGTGGCTAAATACGAAACCAAAATCCTGTCCGCTTCGCCATATGTCAAGTTTACTCAGCCTTACCTTTTGATGAAGGCACGCGAGCAGGAGAGACGACTACTTTATTTACGCCGGCTCCGTGATCACGACTACTTCGTCGACGAAAACGGGGATCCTGAGAAAGCAGATCCACCTCGGTTCCAACTCATCAAGCCTGAGATGGTCGAAGCGATAGGGCAAAAGGCACCCAAGCAAATCATGGAAATTCTACGAGCTGTTCATGATGCTGAGTACGACAAGGCCCTGTACAATTACCAGACCCAAACACGTCAATGGGAAACATACATTCAGGGCAACCTCGATCTCTTCGATCCATACTCCCATCAGAACATAGTCGTTCTCTATTCCGTCATCTGCACGGAGACCAAGATCCCTTGTACCGAACCATCTCTGGTAGCTATAAATTTTTACGATGAACAGCACATCGACACCGGCATGGATCCTGATTGCACGTTGGGTCAATACATTGAAGATCTTGCGTACACCATGAATCAAGTCTGCACCTCCAACGGTTGCGAGCGCAGGATGCTAGAACATCACCGAACTTATGTACATGACCAGTCTCGCATCACAGTCTTTGTTGAGAATCTGCCTAGCAACTCTCCTATGGCTGACCTTGAGGGTATTACGATGTGGACCTATTGCAAGATCTGTAAGAAAGACACTGAAGAAAGGACCATGTCGGAAGCTACATTCAAATACTCCTTTGGCAAATATTTGGAGCTCCTCTTTTGGGGACGTGGACTGAAGATGAAATACATGCATGACTGTCCTCACGACCATCACCGAGATCATGTTCGATATTTCAGTCTTCAGGGTGCCCGAATTCGCATCCATTGGGACCCTATCGATCTGTTGGAGATTGTTGTGCCGCGAGCAAGAATCACATGGAAAGTGACCAACGACTTGAAACTCAAGAACGAGATTTTTGCAAGAATGGAGGAAAGATGGGCTAAATTCATGACTTCAGTCAAGTCAAGGCTCATGTGTATTAGAATTGATAGTGTCCTGCCTGAAAAAGCAGATCTGTGCAAGTCTGAGGTTGAACGTTTGACAGCCAAGGCCAAGGAGGATCAGCCACTTATTGTGAAGAGGCTGCAAGACATCTACGTCAACTCGAAATACTACGAGGTGGTACCTTTCAACAGTATCGTCCGAGAGATGCTCGAGAAAGCTGGGGAATGGGACCAAGCGTTTACCAAGTTCGAAGCTGATTTCCTAAGCGACAAGGATATGCGCCAGTTGACAATCATGCAACTGAAAAAGATGTTTACTGACAATGAGTCGAAGGAGTCGCTCACGTCAAACGAGGGCGGCACTCCATCAACTGTCGATAGCGAAGATCGACCTTCTCAGACATTCACAGAAGAGGAAGTGAAGAGCACCCAACCTACGGACTACACCGACAACACCAGTATGGAGGCTAGTGTCACTTCATCAAAGCCTGTCGATGAAAAAGATGTCCCCGATGATGATGGCAAGGTTGAGATCCCGGCAGAGGGTGCTATCGAGCGGGTTGAGGCTTTGGATTTAGCCTGTACTCCTCTAACACCATCTAACCCTCCCTCCGAATATTTCCCAACAGAAACAGCCGAGGCCTCGGAAGATCTATACGATCAAGAGACACCTCTTGCTATCGATCCTGAGCAAACACCAAAAGCACCCAGCAAACCATTCGACTCGACTGCGACCGACCCTGTTGAGCCTATGCCATCGCCTATGGAAGCTTTACCTTCTCCTGTACCTTCCTTAACGGAGAAGGTGGATCAAATTCGACGAGAGCAGGGTATATCCTCAATACCTACTCCTACTGGAGAGCGTGCACCACCACGCAAAGCTGGACAGGCGGTTTCTCCTCCCATGGTGAGAGCGACTTCCCATCCAACCCGTGCACTGGCTAGGACACAGTCTGGGATTGGAAAGGGCCTTGGCACCAAGGAGTCAAAGACGAGTACTTCCGAGTCTACAGGATCTGAGTCAGCAACAACACCTGAAGGGTCGATCAGAGTGGATAAGAAGCTCTCTGATCGCTTAGGTTTGAGAAACTTGAAAGACAGGGGTAAGGCGACTGCTTCAGGAATTCCGCGATTTGTCCATAAGAAGAGAGAGTCCAAGGTTTCAACGCTGGCAAAGCATTTTGAGCAGCTCAGTCGTGAATTTGAGAAAGAGCGTATCCGAGACCGCAAGAAGCGTGCTGCAAGCATGCGTCAACCTCGAGCCATGCTACCAAGAACCACCACAAAGGCCATTGTTGAGGTCTACGATGATGTGAACGAGGCTTTCGAGGAGCCGAGCCCTCCAACGGAGAGTGTCGCTGAACGCGAAGCTAGTAAACGTGCTGGCAGCAGTGCTTCAAGAAAGTCTGAGTCACGACAACGGACTGATCCTGTTGCTGAGCCATTGACGCCTGCGGAACCACCCGCGAGCGTAGAAGAACAACAACATGGCAATCAGAGGCAAGAACACGAGGACGACGAACAGCATCAGGAACTCCAAGACAAAGAACAGGAAGAAAAGGACGAGAAGATGGAAAAGGAGGACAACGATGAGCATACTATCGCCAACACCAGTCAGACATTTTCTGATGATGAAGAAAGAGTCGCCGATCTCGAAAACTCTGCTACAGATGAGTATCTGCACGATATCAAGGAGATCGCAGACTCAGTCGACGCAAGCGAGATTCCATTGGAGCTACCTAAACACCAGAAGACAAGTTTGATGAAATATCTTACCAATTTCTGGGCTGAGAGAGGTGCGAGCGGCTGGCACCAACTTGAATATCCCGTCAACCCTAGCGACCACATCTTTGTCGACTCTGATATCATTGTGCGTGAGGATGAGCCAAGTTCAGTAATTGCGCTTGCCCTCAACAGCGAAGACTATAAGGACAAGTTACGCAACATTCGAAAAGAAGCACAAGAAACCATGCAACGCGAGAGTGATAGCGGTGTCGAGGGAGAGCCCAAATCTCTTGCTTCTGACAGCATCGACTGGGTATCTGAAACAGACCTCGAGAAGAGTCTGCTCCGTGTCACAGGAACTCATCTGAAGTATCAGTTCCGGGAAGGATCTGCCACGATGACTTGCAAGATCTTTTACGCAGAGCAGTTCGATGCTCTCAGGAGGAAGTGCGGTGTTGCAGAACGTATCGTCGAGTCGCTCTCACGATGCCTCAAGTGGGATTCCAAGGGCGGCAAGACGAAGTCAGTCTTCCTCAAGACACTTGATGATCGACTCATTTTAAAGGTAAGTTATATATGATAAGTAAGTCTTGTGTTTCAGTCAGCTAATACTCTTTAGTCTCTTTCCCCTATAGAAACTTCGGCTTTCTTGAGATTTGCTCCTGGCTATTTCAACATCATGGCGGAAGCACTATTCCACGATTTGCCCTCTGTGATCGCCAAGATGTTGGGCTTTTTCCAAGTCTTTATCAAGAACCCAGTTACAGGAACTGACATCAAGCTGGATCTTCTCATTACCGAAAACCTCTTCTACGACCGCACCGCAACAAGAATCTTTGATCTCAAGGGTTCTATGCGTAACCGCAAGATCCAATCTACTGGTGAGCAAAATGAGGTCCTTCTTGACGAAAACATGGTCGAGTACATCTATGAGTCGCCTCTCTTTGCAAGAGAACATTCAAAGAAACTACTCCGTGCTTCGGTATGGAACGATACACTGTTCTTGGCAAGACAGAACGTGATGGATTACTCCCTCATGATTGCTGTTGACGAGGCTCGTAAGGAGCTTGTGGTTGGTATCATTGACTGCATTCGTACATACACATGGGACAAGAAGCTCGAAAGTTGGATCAAAGATCGTGGATTTGCAGGTGGAGGTCGCAATCGACCCACTGTTACAAGTCCCAAGGAATACAAGTCTCGTTTCCGAGAGGCTATGGCAAGGTATGTTGACGATGTTGTTACTCGAAATTGTTCGAATACTGACTAGAGATAGATACATCTTGCAGGCGCCCAACTGCTGGCATTTGTTCAACAATCCTCAGTATCCGCACTACTATGGGCGCGCTAGGTTCGAAGAGCCCGAAATGCTTCGCTGAAGCACTTATAAAGACAGATAAGAGAGGTGAAAAGCACGAATGAAAGAAAGAGTATACATGCAGTTCATGACGGCCATTGTAAACGTTAGAAGGGGTTGCATTTTTGTTAAATGTACAAGCAAGCATCAGCGTCGTTATTATAGGTTTTCATGGTAGCATTCAATAAGAGGGGAACATTAGCGATACAGTGGAGTGCATTATATATGATAAATTCAATGAATTATATATATCTTGTTGCTTTATTGCAGACAATGAAGCAAGTCTTTTCTAATGCTAGAGTGACTGTTTAAGTTTGTTCATGACGCTTTGGGGGGTTGTGACACCTGTAGCGCCTATAAGCCACTAAAACTTGCCCATCATCTCATCCACTTCTTGATGCAAAGTGAACTGAACCTACACAAACCTGACATCAACAACCAGGAAATTAAGATTCAATGTCGATTGAATTAAACTGGGAGACACTCACGAGTGGTCCCGATGGTGACGCTCTCGCTGAACGCATCCGGGAATTCGTCCACGATAAATTCCAGACGGTCCCACTACCCAAATTCATCCGCTCAGTAACAGTACACGGTTTCGACTTTGGAACTATCCCTCCAACACTCGAGCTCAAAGACATTACGGATCCATTGCCGGATTTCTACGAAGAAGATTTGGATGATGATGAGGAAGATAGCGAAGAGGAACCGTCGCCTCCACCGCCACCTCCGGAACCTACGAGGATGAGGCCTGGTCCTGCGCCGTGGGGAGGATCCACGAGGAGAGGTGGTGGGTTGAGAAGTGAGGTTTTGAGAAATGAAATGATGGGTCATGACTTGGGAAGTCCTTTCCTGGGAACTTCAACGCCGGGAATTCTGGGAGGATCGGGTTTGGGCTACTTTCAGAGTCATCTTGGTACAGGCACACATACGCCTTTGGCTGCTGTTGCAAGTGCACATCACACCAACTGGATGAGTGTCCCAGGAACTCCGGCACGCGAATGGGGGACTCCGAGTCACACCCGAAACCCATCACAGAGCAGTCTTACATCTGTGGACAACTTCAAAGCTAGTCTCGATCCGCTGCAGAGTCTGCGTGAGAAAGGAAGTGTGTCTACGCTTGCACCTACGTCAGTCGAGGCGTCTCGGCCACCGACAAGGGATACACATCTTGGCGGTTCAGCGATTGTTGATGATGAAGAAGAGGAGGGAGAGGAGGAAGCTGGACGACGACCGCGGGAGCCTCGTGTGGAGGATGTGCAGGCTGTCTTTAGGATACGCTACAACGGCGATATTCGATTGAACCTTACAGCGGAGATTTTACTCGATTATCCCATGCCTAGCTTCGTGGGCATCCCGCTCAAGCTTAACATCACTGGGTTGACATTTGACGGCGTGGGTGTACTGGCGCATATTCGCAAGCGTGTGCACTTTTGCTTCCTTGGTCCAGATGATGCGCTTGCAGCTGTTGGCCCTGACGACACGGAGGAGGATTCCAAGGGTACTACTGGCGCTGCAAAGAACGAGCATCACAAGCCGAGATTCGGTGGTCTTTTACAGGAGATTCGTGTAGAAAGCGAGATTGGTGAACGAGTTGGTGGAAAACAAAGTCTGAAGAACGTGGGCAAGGTTGAGAGATTCGTGCTCGATCAGGTCCGAAGGATCTTTGAGTCCGAATTCGTGTACCCCAGCTTCTGGACTTTCCTGGTGTAATTATATGTATCATGGATCATAAAATGAAGGTTCGTGGGTATATAGACTAGGAACACCACTTCTAATAGCCATGTAGACATTTGGCGCAAGCATGCATCTTCGCTCTCAAAAAACATATACAAAAAATCATCATATCACGCTTCTCAAGTCAAGGTTCTTCTAAAACCTTGGTACGCCTGCTGAATATCCAGCTCCAGCTCTCGCGCCTGCTCCTCGCTCAACTCATCGGTCGCTCTCATCTGGTTGAGGGTTATGAGCCACTGTACGATCTTGCCTCGATTCTCAAAGTCCTTGTCTGTAACGCGGTTTACTGATTGGATCACATCGGAGAGGAGAGGGTGCAGCTGGTCTTTGGAAAGGAGACCGAGTTTAACTGCGTCGAGGAAGGTGATGAACTCTTGGGTGGCTTCGAGAATGAGAACACCGCTGGTGTTGTTGGCTGCTGCGGTGGGGGCTGGAGTTGGTGCTGAGGGGGCTCGGTCGATGGCTGTAGATGGCATACCTACACGAATGCGCTCGGTTGCGCGAGGTGCTTCGAGCTATACAAATGTTAGTTCTCAATATAAACTGCCAATTGAAGTATCAGAGAGTGTCATACATCCCATCTGGCCTTGAATTCTTCTAGATCCCCAAATTCCCTGGCGATAGTCTCATCCGCCAACAGCGCCTTGTACTGCCTCAGCGATCGCTCGCAAATCTCGGTATACTCTGCTTCAGGGACAGCATCTTTAAGGAAGGCCTTTTCGAGTTCATCTAGTGTTATTATAATACTAAAGAGCTCGGCAAGTGACTCTTGGAGATCGCGCTCGGCACGGGTGTTTGTAAGTTTGACTTCCTACTCGACTATTAGCTTGGTTATGATATAAGTCGAATTGTTGAGTATATACCTCGTCGAGATTTATAGTAGCAGAAAGACTCGTATTAGGAATATAACTATGAGGAGTTGGCGCGTAGCCTTGTCGTGGAATCATTATGAATGCAGCATTGGTTTGTAAATGTACGTTATAAAGTAATGCGCCGCTATGGCTTCAGGTGGGATGAATGGATGCCTGCGGGACATGACATGTTACGTAGGGGACCTGGCAGAATATTCTCACCGCCTGTCGTTTTCGCCGATCTTCCGTTATCGATAAGCTCGCAGCAAAAATTTTGGTTTTTGGTTTGGTTGCAAAAGAAGAGCCTCTGAAGAGACCCATACAAACAAAAACTACCCCCAATCCAAAAGTCGAATTCTTCACCAGCCAAGGCGCGTACAAGTTTTCAAAATGGCGCCAGGCAAGAGGAATCTCAAGGCGACAAAGAAGTTCGAGAAGAAGCACCTAACAGGCACATTGGAGAAGCGCAAGGCCGGTGCTAAGCTCAAGCAGCGCAAGCAGATTCAGGACAAGAAGAAACTCAGAAGATCAAAGGATGCCGAGTCAATCAGGAATGACAATGATGCAGAGGCAAAGAAGCCCAGCGTCAAGGGCAAGAAGATCAACGACATGAGCGTCGACGAGTTCTTCTCTGGTGGTTTCGATGAGATTATCGACGATAAGAAGAAGCTTGGAAAGCGCAAGAGGAACGGTAACGCCGCAGAGGATAACGAAGCCAGCGGTGATGACTCAATGGACGAGCAGCCCCTCGCTGCCGGCGACGACAGCGACGACGATATCGAAGAGGCGGATAACCTTGGTATGAGCAAACAGACCATGGACGAGCTCGCCGAGAAGGATCCCGAATTCTACAAGTTCTTGAAGGAGAACGACCCCGAGGTCCTCGACTTTGACGATAACGCCGATCTTGCAGAAGTCGATGCGCTCAGCGGTGACGACGAGGAGGAACAAGAAGACGAGCAGCCCAAGAAGAAGCAAAAAAAGAGCAAGAAGGAGGCAGAGTCTGTCGCGGTCGCGCAAGGGAACGAGTTGACTCGTGAGCTTGTTGCTTCATGGAAGAAGGCTATGGCTGAGAAGAACTCCCTGCGAGCTGCTCGACAAGTCGTTCTGGCTTTCCGTTGCGCCGCGCACTTGAATGAGGATGATGAGGAGTCTGAGCAGCGATATGTTATCAACAGTCCCGAGGTCTTCAACGACATTCTCCTCCTTGCTCTCAAGGAGATTCCTACGGTTATGAACCACCATCTCCCTGTCAAGGAGTCCGCCTCTGGCAGAGTCTACGTCCAGACCGAGACAAGAAAATTCCACACCTTGTCTCTACTGCTCAAGACATACACCTCCTCTATCATGCACCTCCTGAGCACCCTCTCCGACGACAAGACCCTCAAGCTTACTCTCTCCTCCATCACCCCCATTCTCCCCTACCTCCTCTCGTTCAAGAAGCTCGTCAAGGCTCTCGCCAAGTCCGTCGTCAACTTCTGGGCTCAGCCTGCCAGTTCCGAGACGACAAAGATCACAGCATTCCTTGTTCTGCGACGTCTCGTCGTGATCGGTGACAAGGGTATCCGCGAGACAGTCCTCAAGGCCGTTTACCAAGGTCTTATCCAGGGCTGCCGTGTCACAAACGCCAACACTGTCCAGGGTATTAACCTCATGAAGAACTCTGCTGCTGAGCTCTGGGGCATCGACCAGGCTGTTGGTTACACCACTGCCTTCTCCTTTATCCGACAGCTGGCCATTCATCTGCGCAACAGTATCGTGCACAACAAGAACGACGCTTTCCGAATCGTCTACAACTGGCAGTACACCCACTCTCTCGACTTCTGGTCATGTGTTCTCGCCGAGCACTGCAGTCCCTTGAAGGAGGCTGAGGCCGGAAAGGAGAGTCAGCTCAAGCTCCTCATCTACCCTCTCGTCCAGGTTACTTTCGGAGCCATGCGCCTGATCCCCACCGCCGTTTACTTCCCCTTCCGCTTCCATCTCATCCGCTCACTCCTCCGAATTTCTCGCGCCACTGGCACTTACATCCCCCTCGCCTCTCCCCTCCTCGAGGTCCTCACCTCAGCTGAGATGAAGAAGGCTCCCAAGGCCGCCTCCCTCAAGCCCTTTGACTTTGCCACATCATACAAGGCACCTAAGTCATACCTCCGCACCCGTGTTCTACAGGACGGTATCGGCGAGCAGCTCGCTGAGCTTCTGAGCGAGTACTTCATGCTCTGGGCTACCTCAATTGCCTTCCCTGAGCTCGCCCTCCCTATCATCATCCAGCTCAAGCGCTGGCTCAAGCAAGCCCGCAACAAGACCTCTGGCAACAAGAACGCCAAGCTCGCCGGCCAACTCGTTCTTCTTGTGCAGAAGCTCGAGGCCAACGCCAAGTTCATCGAGGAGAAGCGCTCCAAGGTCGATTTCGCACCCAAGGACCGCACCCAGGTTGACGCTTTCCTGCGTGACTTTGACACTGCCAAGACACCTCTTGGGGCATTCGTTGTTGGACAGCGCAAGGCTCGTGCTGAGCGTGCCAAGCTTCTCGAGGAGGCCAGAAGGGAGGACGACCGCAAGCGACGAGAGGATGAGAAGGCCGATATGGAAGATGAAGTGATGGAAGAATGCGAGGCCGAGGACGACGAAGAAGATGAGGACGATGAGATGGCCGATGGTGCTGGTGACAGCGATGAGCATGATGAAGAGTAGCTATAAAATATTTCGTGTTTTTTCTGGGCCGGTGTGTAAAACGGACATCATTTCATATTTGTTAGACCTAAATCAAGGATACCTTACCTACCTTTTTCTGTTAAACTTCACCATCAACAGAACGAATAATAAAGATTGCCAAAGGGATGTAATGAATTCAACTGAAAAAATGTCTTCATAGTCATTCTCGCCAAATAATAGCGAGTCAAATTTGTACAAAACGCAATACACTAAGTGATTTGACCCTGGTAATTCCAAACTCCCCCAGTAAAGCCATCTAACCCGCGATGGTCAATACACCAGTACCAATGAACCAATTTCTGAACCAAAAACGCCTTTTCATGGTTGATATCGAATTGCACATGCCCGTAACGCTCCATATCATGTCAACAATTTTTATAGCTCGGGGATACCCTCCCAAGTAAGTTGGTCGCTGTGACTTGTGGCATCGCGGACTGTCATGCCCGTGATGTTGAGCACAGTCAGCTCGATCTCCTCCTCCGACATGGCCTGGCCAGCAGCCTTCTGACCCTCAAGAACATCATACAAGCTGTAGATCTGGTCATTCTTCGCCTCAAGTTGCTTCAGAAGCGTGCGAATACTTTCAGCAAGGCTGACACGATCACGGCGGCCCAAGGCCTTGTCCCGACCGCTGTACTTGGCTTGAATACGGGTGAGCTCGAGTTGAAGATGGTGAGACTCATCCTCCAAGCCCTTGATAACTACAGCGAGTGCATGACCAGGGTGCTGAGAAGGTCGCATGGTGGGATCCTCGACTGAGAGGTCACGATCCGTGACAGGGACAGGTCGTCGAATAGTAATACGCTTCTTACCGGCAACAATATCAGCGGAAGAAAAGATGCCACGGTGAGATGTGATGCGGCTGCAAACTGTACAGTTTTTGCATTCGTGCTCGCAGAGATCGTCAAGAACTCTCCTGGCATCATTCGAGAGAACAGGGCAGGTATCCTTGTCGCTCTTGATGCTGTTAGCCGTGATATCAGTCGTGACCTGTTTGCGTGAAGATCGTGAATTGGATCGAGAGTGCTGAGACTTTTGACTTTGGACAGTCAAATCCTTAGTGTTTGACTGCTTCTGCTTCTGCTCTGTACCCTTGGCTTCCTTACGTGGCAAGGGAACAACGTCCAGCTGTGTTGAGTAATCGTTATCCTGTGTAGTATTCTCAACTGATTGAGCACCAGTCGTCTCATCGTTGTCTTCTACTGTGTCCATGTCGTAGGTATAAGTTGCAATACCCTTCAAAGAGCTTCGTCTCTTAGAATCGGAAGTTGTTCGACGCTTGCTTCCTTGGTTGGCAACATTGGAACTGCTCTTCTTTGACGTCTTTCCGGGGATTGAGAAGGCAACCTTTTGTTGTGTGCCAGATTTAGAGTTTTTGGTCTTGCTCTGCGATTGCCTAGTTTCGCTTTGAAC